AATATTTTCTTAACACCGTGATGACATGTACCAAATATGGGTGAAATCGGTTCACAACCAAGCCTGAAATCTCGATTATCACTTTATCATGCGAGAATATAAAATGTTCGGTGACACCCGAACTTAGCACTTCCTTACTTGTTAAAAATAAGTTCTTCACAAAATTTGGCATGAATTATTATCTTATTATCTAAGGCAGCGCTACAATCATCCAAAGATCTTCTTATACCCTTTGATGCTATAAAAATTGTACTTGTGGAGGATATAATGACTGCAATGCAGCTGGACACTATACTAGTTTTGCACAAATAGAGAACTAATATCTTTTCTATGCCTTGTACGTCAATGGATTATAAAGGCTTTGAAATTCCTCAGCCTCTGCGTAATGGAATTTTGAAAAGTCTCTTTTTCTCTCTAAAAATGCTTCACTGAATGGAGCACCAATTCAGTGTAGTTATTATTGGTTATTCGATCATAATGTCTTACTTCTCATTTACAATTTATAGACTGAATATATCTTATCTATTGACTATTCTCAGACCATGGTTCCTCAAATGCATGGCCATTTTTTACACCAGTTTGCCTTAAATTAAATGCATCATAGACATAGTAGTTATACTGATAATTTATCAAATAACTGTTTAAAGCAAACCGGAACACTGAAAGCAACATATTTATAAAGCTAGATATGAACCCATGTCCGATTCGTACATGATACCCATTAGATGGGTTCTGAGATTATCTTTTTTGTGTCTCCTAGCTAATCTAAACTAATAGATTACTGAGTTGTATCCCAGAAAAAGTACATACCAAGTTTCTTCGAAATACCTAAAGTTGTACTTAAGTTATTTGTGGCAAGAATACCTCGATGAATACACAGCAATACCATCATTACCTTATCATCCACATACATACATACATTTTTTAATATGCACAATCAAAAAGAAGAATTAATATCTTCAAGCTGTCACAAGCAATTTCAGTTCCGATGACAAGTGTGTGGCTAAGTGAAGTTGGAAAGTTTCTGAGGATGTTAGAAAGTGTTTGTAACAGAAGCCCAAGAAATGTGCTGTTCTGAGTATCCACAGAGAGTGTCACATTGTCACATTTTTCTGCAGTGAAGGTGTTTTAATGCCAATGACGCCATTAACTGTGAGGGAGTCAGTGAAGTTGTTAATAGCCACACTGTAAATGGCGTTTAGTGCTTGGTTGAAATCAGTTCTGTCCTTAGTCTGCTCGGTTAAGTGTACAATGACCCGATTTAATCAAGGAGGTGGCAGCGTAGCTCCAAACCGATTACTGCAAAGGTGATTTTAGCTGATGCATCCTAGTAGAAACTGTCTGAAGAGGAGCTTGTACTGTGTCTTAACCAGAACCGTACAGGTATACTGCTCCAAACTGGGTATCTAACCCTTAGAGTCACCTTCCCTTCCTCGACTATATCGATGACATAAAACAATACGCCGACCAGACTTCATCCGCAACCATATTCAGATATGCCCTGATGGGATTAGGTACACGTTACAACTACAACAACAGGTATCCTGTTATTGTTCAGAGTTCTGATAAGTCTGTAACTTCTTTGTCTGCGTTATACCTCAAAAAGGCTACGTTAATACTTTTTGTGTTGCCACCACATTTCAAACTTTTCTGCATTGACGGTTGGCCAATATAAAATATCTCCCATAAATTAAGCGAATTAATTATATTGTTGTTATTCTTGCCACTACGGTTAAATGGCAAACACGTTTTTATTTGCACCATAAATTCTAAATACTTTTAATCAACAGCAATTTAACGGCTTCTTATATCTTTCACTCTCACATTTTTATTGTTTTTCAGATAAATGAATGACTGTAACAAGACCAAAAGGATAAGACGAGCAACTTACGGTGAATAGGTGAGGATCGAGTAATAGCTCACCATCAACATAAAAATAATAAATATAAATCATTTACGGCATTTAGCGTGTCAAAAGAAAAGAGAAAACAAAAAAGCCGAGCCGAGCAAAAAAAAAAAAAAAAAAAAAAAAAAAAAAAGAAAAAAAAAAAAAAAAAAAAAAAAAACGAGCAGAGTTAACGTCTTGCGCTCAACCAAAGCAGTGAGTACAAGAAACGGTTGGCAAGCAGCGTGGCAGAAAGAAAGCGAAGTCTAAAAAACAAAAAAAAAAAAAACAAAAAGCCCAATTTCAGCTACGTGAAAAAGGTGTGTGTACAATCCCGTAAGCACTGCAAGTGCCAAAGTGTAAACCGGTTGTTGTTTGAGTGCTATGTGTGGGTGAGTGTGCGAAGAATTATTCAGCACACAGTAAGCACGCGAGGAAGTCACTCGTCGTCATCGTCGTCGCCGTCGCCAAAGTAACGTTACTGCTGTGGCCCAGCTAAGTGGTGAAAGCATTTCCACTGGCACCTACATAAGCAAACGAGCAGGCACAAGAGCGTCTTGGCAGTTGGCAGTTGGTCCAAGTACTAGTCAGTACTCAGCTACACACTTACATACGCACTTGCTTACGTTCACAAAAACACGAGTGGTGTTAGCGGCGAGGCAGCGGCACAGTAATTTCCTTAGCCAGCTTTTTTACATTCTCACACACACACACACGCACGTACGTACGTGCAGCGTCATCTTCGTTTGTGGCCGCAGTGCATGCAATTCTTGCCACATATGTGTATGTGTGCTTGTGTGATTTTTGCTCATTGCTATGCGCCCGCGTTTGGCATACAAATGAAGAAATATGAGTGCGCGTTTTTGAACTGAAAATGTTGTTGAGCCACATAGCAGCAACAATAACAACAAAAATAAGAAAAATTACAGCAACGTCAGTAACAACAAAAGTCAGCAACTGCAACATTGTAAGACACATGCACAGTGGGTGCTAAGCGTATACGAACAATAAGAAGACGCAAAATTCCCTGCAGCAGCAGCAAGGCCAGTCAATTCAAGCGCCATAAAGCCAACCCGTAGCAGCGCTCAGCCGTCCGCCCGTGCGCCCAAGTCATCAGTTGCGTGTTAGCAGCATTGTCGCCGTTGTTGTCCTCATACTTATACCACACACTGTTATCCACATCCTCTCTATCAGCTGGCTGCTACGACTTTGTCTGCGTCTTCGCCCTCAACTTCGTTGTCATCATCATCATTACCCGGTTATGCACTCGCTACTGCGTCCGTTAGTATATATGTACATATTGCCGAGTTCGAGTATAGCGTGTGCGCCGCAGGAGCTGAAACGTTCCAATATTAGAGTTAGTATATAAGCGAACGTAGAAATCAAATCTCGTGTAGCCTTAAATGAAATATTAATATTTGTCATCATTCGTTTGGCGAGTTAAGTTGGCTGCAGAACGTTTTTCCGCCACAAAGTCAACGCGCGCCGCAGTGGGTGACTCGCCAGAATCGCGTTGACTTGCAAGTCAAATATTAAATAGCAAAAAAAAAAAATAAAGCAAGACAGCAGCACGAAGACGGGAAATAAGGAGCGCAAAACATAGCATACTACAAACATAGTATCCACTCAGCGATAAGCATTTAAACGCACAACCTGAAAAGTGGAAAATAAAAACGCGAAAAAGCTACAATTTCAAAGGCAAAAAGACCCGACACTTCACAACTTACGAGTAGTCATCGCCAGCGACGTCGGCGCCGTTGTCGTTGCCCGCGTTGTCGTCAGCGTCGCCGCAGTGGTTCAACAGTGCCACTACTTTTTGGGCTTTGCAGTAATTTCAGCGCTTTTTCGTCGGTCGCTGCACACTTCAAATTCATAACTTTGTAAATACACACACATATATATGCAAACACACACAAATACATATATGCATAAATAGATTTGTAACATATCCGTCGTTGACGTAAGAAGTGCACGTTGCAGTGACAGTTACAGTTATAGTGTTTAAGTAGTGTGTAACGTACATATAAGTAAGCAACCATAACAACAACAACAACAAAAACTATAATAACAAACAACCACGTTCCTGTGCCTGTGTATGTGCTTCAACTTGTACGCTTAGCATATACATACATATAATTGCTTCTGTGTGTGTGACTGTTCATCCGCCCGCTCTCTTTCCCCACCTCTTTGTGTGCGTTCGTGTGTGCGTAAAGGATAATAATTCGCCTCAAAATGCGTCTGCAATATCGCAATAAGAAAGCGACGCTATGGCTGATGGTCACCATAGTCGTTGTCACTATGTTCCTCTTCAAATTCACCGAATTCGCGCCAACGTGTTTCTTCAAGAACGACGTTACGTCGCCGGATGGTTCGCTGATGGTGCGCGAAGAGGTAAGTGGGCAAAAGTCTTGAAAGCAGTTTAACATTATTATTATCAAATATAAATATATTTCCGTATGCAGTTTGCACAGTGGGCGCACTCGTATGGTGTTGGCACCCCGAAAATGTTGGATATGAAATATTTAATTTTAAATGAGAATTGGATATGGATATGGATATGGATGTTTTATAGTAGTTATATATGTAGCTTTATTGATTTTTGAAATCGGGATCACAAAAAAATATATATACCACCAATCTTTGTTTTATACAATTCCTTATCATAGTCTCCTAATTAGGCTTATTTTAAGACAGTACAAGAATGACGAGAGATAGTTAGAAAAAAAGCTTGCTTGGAGCTTGCACAGGAACCTACGGTCTGCTGTGCCCTTCACGGTGTCACAACGAATCACATAGGCCAAGCACATTGATACATTTCAGTATTCAGATAGGAGCTATTGATGCGATGTGATTCCTATACATATACATAGATGCAAGAGAATTGATTATACGTCTACAAACTGCTGCGCCCTCTAGCATGAGGTACTTGGGAGTTTCGGGTTCCTGGGGCCCTATTCCGTAACTCGATTCGTAACTCGAAAAATTTACTCGAATTCGGATTTTTTATATTCTGTAACTCGATTTTCGCATTTTCAAGCCAATTTTCGAATAAAATATTCGTTAGCTTTTGAGTTGTAGAAATCAAAAACGAATATTGTGCGTATTTATTCAGGCAGAGGGTGGTACAACTTTCGCATAATTATAAAGTAGAGATACAGAATAGGGACCGTGAACTGACAGTTGTCCGAAGAGGCTATATCCATGTTCAATACCCCTTTTTTGAGTCTATCGTTTCCAGTGTAAAACAAGAAGCCTGTATTTATCTCTCAAGAGATTGTTTACGTTTTTAAACCTAGGTTGTAATCAGTCATTAGTAACTTTGCTTGCCACATGCATGTTAGTTTAAGTCAATACTTTTCCCTGTTCACTATCTTCACCTTTTGCAGCCTGTTATGGGGTATGATATTGGTATTGGTATGGGGATCAACCGCAATGCAGGGTTTGGATCCAGATGACTTGCATTTGGTTGTGAACTGACAGGAAATTCAGTCGTTATATGTGCTCCTGCAGTAGTAGCGATGTTATCTCATAAAGTTAGCTTATTGGTTTAAGTGGGTTTACATCCTAAGTCCCGGCAGGCACCTTCTTTTGGTAAACGGGAGATAGTCGTTTTAGTCGGTTTGATCTTCCTTCCAAACGAACTGCACCATCCCCTGCCAGGAAAAATCTCTGTACGTTATCGTAGAGAGTGTTCTTGAATTTCCGTCTTGGTAGAATTCTCTGCGTATATTACATATTTTTCTATCTCTTTAGGGGTGGATTTATATACATCAATCTGTTTGAAGTAGAGTAATGGTATTATAATATTTAGAGAGAAGATCTGAAAGAGAAAATATTTGTGTTTTTCTCTTATTTTAGAGTCCCATATTAAGCTTATTCGGCTATATCTGCTATGGTTACGTGCTCTTGGAGCAAAATTTTAAATTAAGAAATTGTGTTTTTTTTTTCAAACCGAGCATCTTTGAATCTTTATTGTAGTTTAGTGATGGACAAAGTCGGGCGAGTATAATTTTGTCTACTCTTTTTGACTATACATATGTGTGAGATATCTTAAAAATATAAGGCGAAATCAAATGAAACCAGTCTAGACCTTCTCCTATCTTTAATATACCTAAGATATTGAAGTAATTTTCGCCTTCCGGTTCTATGCCGTATATATCGGTCAATATGTACCTTATTAATGTTAAATTTAGATGAAATCGGTAAAGAACATATCTAATGATTACTTGAGGACATAAGGGCTGTTATCCTAGTGATGAACCATGATGGAAATCTTACGGACACATTAAGTATCTCCAAACGTAGTCTTTTAACGACGTTAGCTATTTCAACAATAATAAAATGACAAAACAAGTTCGAAGAAAGAAGTCGGAAATCGACTATTTGGGAGGACGAGTTAATTATCCGCAAGTCGAAAAAGAATGGAGAAATTCCAAATGCACAATCTATAGATACCTTAAAAACACGATTACGTGAGGCACGACTCTTAGAAAAAGATTCAAGGAAGGAGCAAATACTCTCTGAATGCCATCGAAGGAACCCCTTAAGGACCAATCGAAGATTTTTGGACATCTAGTTGGAAATTTCCAGGAAATATACGATAAAGTTAACGGGGTTATATGGGTTTCCTCGGGTAAAAAATATGATTTTTTTCAACAATTTTTTTCACATATAAGAAAGAAAATATATTATTATTTATGTTACAAAACATACACTATTAACAAAGAAAAAATTAAATTTTTGGAAAAAAATATTTTAAACGCAGCCATTGCGACGCCATTTCCGGTGAGACCTCAGAAAAAATATGCTTCCGCGTTGGCAGGATAACTCCTTAAAGTGTCATCTAAGGTGGAAAAAATACATGTTTTAGTTAAAGTCTTAATTTAGGACTTGGACGAAAGAAAAAAAAAATGAAAATTTAATTTTTGGCTGACATTTTAATAAAAACTTGAACCACATGACGAGTTAATCGAATGTCGTCTGCCATAGAAACTGAATGATTGGATTCAAGTCATTGAATGGAAAACTTATTTACTAAGATACCTATGTAAAATTTGGCATAGGCTTTTTTCGAGACACCTCTACATTATCTGACTAGATTTTAAGAAATCGGTCGTCTACAGTATACAGCTGTCATACAAACCGTTTGAACAAAATCAATTTCTTGTATATAAACTTTTTTATATGTGAACGGAATTCTAGCTGTTTTTATTTTAAATGTATTCTCTTTCTCTTCTGTTTGCATAGCTGAACAAAAGAAAACATGCTCTTATGCAACAACAGCTTTTTTAACTCAGCTTACTCAGCAAAAAAATTTTATATTAAAAAGCTTGCTTTTAATTTTTTTTTAAGGAAATGGTTATGAACAATAATAAATTTTTGTGCCGGTATTTACCTGTAATTCGGGAGAAAAAATTGTGCCGCCATCAGCTTTATCATGTTACGCACCAATGCATAAAAATATCGCTCTCTTTTTATTAAAAACCGAACTGTGACAGCAACCTTAAAAAACTAATGGGAATATTTCTGACTGAAGTTGTAAAAAAAATCTGAAACTGACATACAAATTTTTTGTTAGCAAACCGGAAAATACTCACGTTAATTGTCGGAACAGATGTAGTTACGTGTCAATATCAATTAGTTATAAGAAAAATGTTAACGGAAAGTATGCAGATAACGCTAGTTTGGTTAAAGCTTTAAGCGGTTGTCATTGTAAGGTTTTTTCTTTGAGTGGAAATAAATAAAAAACGATGCTGTTAGTGTGGTTCTGCTTATAATGCATATAGATAAAATTATTATAGTATTATAATAGGTTGTCAGATAAGTCTTGCGGTATTTCTTGCGGTATTTTTACTGAATTTTCAATTGTTCATAAAATTTTTTTTTATGACTCATGCCCAGCTCTTGACCGATGCTACGGCCGCTACTATGCCGGTCTCTTTCGAACAATTCAGCGATTTTATCGCAATTTTCGACGACAGGCCTTCTGGAGCGCAGCGCATCTTCGACCACCTCTACAGCAGAACGAAAACGTGGATACCATCGTTGTGCGGTGGAAATGGAAACTGTATCGGGTCCATAAACTGCACAAATTTTATTGGCGGCTTGAGATGCATTTTTGCCTTTATCGTAGTAGTACTGTAAAATATGCCGCATTTTCTCTTTATTTTGCTACATGTTTGCGACTCTATAACTCACGAACGACTTAAAAGAATCGACAATCAATCAAACACGTGAAATGAGCTTTCCAAAAAGGTATAGCATGACCCGATGCGACGAATAAAACTAGAACTACGCGCTCTCAGCGCCAACTAGCGAAAATACCGCAAGACTTTTTTGAGAACCTAATATTGTAGGTCATAGACATACTAAGATTCAATAGCTGTTGGACGGTATAATACATATCTCTAATTTTTCTTCCGAGGGACATAATCTTGATGCGATGCAAACAAAACTAAGAGCGCGGAATTTCGTTATATTGGGTATACGAGGAGAAAGTCATCCATGGAAATCATTATCTTAGTGATATGTTCCTTACCGACTTCATGGATATTTGACATTAATGTAATGTAAAACATGTTCGTTTTATATCATTAGCGAAAGTTACTAAGTATCTTAGATATATTAAAGTAGTCAAGAAGAGTAACGAAATCTACTTCCATTATATGGAGTTTGGACTATATTAAGCCCTGACTTGATCCGTTTTCGGCACTAAACTACAGCACATCGAAGAAAATTCGTGAATTTAATTTTGTTAGGTAACCTTATACAGTTATGCGGCGTGAAGTCGACCAGAATAACAAAAATCGGGATTTCCAAAGTAACATACTCACATTGTCTGACTGGCCAATATCGGAACACTATGACTTGTAGTTTTCATACAAACTGAACGATGAAGATTAGGTGCATGCATGGAAAACTTTGTCATTTGATGAGATATTTTCACGAAATTATAGCGTGGCGCGAGCTAGTCCCTCAGTTTTTGAGATATCAGTTTGAAATTTTGAAGACGTAATTTTTTCTATAAGTAGCAGCTCATTTGTCGGAACCGCCGATCAATTAATTAATATAAATATCAAATGGGTTGAAATCCAAACTTTCCGGAGGCCAGACCAGAACACCAATACTTAAATCCAAAAGGCAGCTCTTCGTTATCCGCGTAGTGTGGTTTGGGGCTTTGTCACGCTGGAAAATATAATGGACTGGCATATTTTCAAAAATATATATGGTTCCATTCGATTCTTCAAAATTATTTTAATTGATGTTGGTTCATTATCCCTTGTACGCATACAATTGGGCCAACACAGTTTCGCCGCCATGATCTACTGTTTTCTCAGTGTACCTGAGTTTTAGGGCCATTTTTGGAGGACACCTTACTTATGATTTTCCATCGGATTGCAATAAATTTAAGTTGGATTCGTCCTTCAGAGTATTCTATTTCAGTATTGAGGATCTGCTCTTTTAACATTTCCTTTCTAAATCTTTACCACTTCCAATGGCAATGGACCCACGAAAGCCCGTCTCTTGTAAGCGCCTTCTTATCGTCCAAGCTAGGATCTCTTCATTAATTTTATGTCATACTTCTGCCTTTATTTCATAAGAAGTCATGAGCAGGCTATTTTTGCTCGCCCTACAAATTGTCCTGTTTTCTCCTGTTTTGGTTTTTCGATGTCTGGCCTTCCTGATAGAAGTTTCAAAGTCTTTTGTTATTTTATACAAATGAATAGCTCCAAATACCATTTTTTTGTGCGACAGCTGACATTGACAATTTCTCCCCTCTGATAGCATATTATTAATTTTTACTAACTTTTCGAGTAAATTAGTCTTTTCCCATTCTACTTAATAATTAAAACGTATTTAATTGTTGCCACCGAAGTATACTCGAAAAACTCGAAAATATACAGAAAAACTCCGCTTCCCACTTTTGAAAAGAAAAATACAGAAACTTCAAATTTAACGGAGAATGTTTGTTATCAGAACATTCTTGGGCATTAATTTTTCGAAGATTATCTCTTTCAAATTTTAACTGCGGTTACGTCTCAAATGGTCCACCAGTTGAGTCCAATTCTGGATGATCATTTCGACTGGTAACTGGTAACTGGCAAATGACATATGTCATGTTTTGTTCCAAAGCCCAAGAATTGTCCGCATAAACTTTAGACTTCACATATTTCGACAGAAAAAGTTTTACGGTTCGATGTGTGGGACTACCGAATATTGCCGTGATCACGAGCTTCAATCTCAGGTATCAAAAAGTGAGTTATATGGCGTAATAACGGTCAGAATTGACGGTTATGTTCTCACCGGCATCATTTTTGCAGAAATGTTATTCGGCCCACAAACCACACCAAACCGTTGTTTTTTCTGGATGAAATAGTTGCTCTAGAATCTCTTCAGGTTGCTTTTTGTCACAAATTCCTAAATTTTGCTTTATTGCATACCCATTGAATGCAATCAGGAATGGACTTCATCGCTGAACAGAATTTGGCTTGAAAATGTCGAAAATGAAATGTGAAAATGAAATTTTCAAGAGCCCATAGCGCGAAGCAATGTCGCTTGGGAAGGTCGAGCGGCTTCAGTCCTCACAAAAGCTGTATCTTGTCCGCTTTCAATTTGCGATCTCGACGTAAAATACCCTAAGTCGTTCCATACTTCAGTCCGAGTTGCTGCGAAAGGCGCCGAATCGACTCTCCACAATTTTCGTGTACACTCTCAGCTAAGGCTGCTAAATTTTTCACTGCGTGCTGGACGAGATTTATTCGGTTGAATATTAACCAAGTTTATCAGGATGTCTAAATTTTATTCAAGATGGACGGACAATATGATGGAACAACATGCACTTAAGTAAATTCTATGAACGGCCTGTTTGCTAATACAAAAACTGCAATTATCATAATATTTTCTAAGAAATTCTGAAATTGCGCATTTTAAAATATAAACATACATACATACGTAGGTAGTAGATATTTCTATATATTTGTGGCCATTAAATCGCTTATTATTTAACTGTATTTTCTTTGCAGAAATATGTGGTGGGTGAAGATCAAAAGACTTATTCATATGGACGCGAAATGCCGCTAATATTTATTGGCGGTGTGCCCAGATCGGGGACAACGCTGATGCGCGCCATGTTGGATGCACATCCGGATGTGAGGTGAGTGAACCTAAATCGTTTATATATGCTGCATAGCTACATAGAGTGTATGTATGTTTGAATAATAGCGCAAATACTTAAGTCAAGTGGTTGCTGTGCGCACAGCTCCATAAACATATGTATTTATATATGTAAACATTGATATATGTACATATGTATGTAGATAAGCACAATTGCAAACAAGCGTATGTATATTTTTGTTTACATATTGTAATAACTGTGTTGACGTGCTGCTGTTGGCAGCCATCAGCGTTCTCAGCGCATGCAAAACAAATGGCGGTGGGGCTAGAAACGCTTGAGAAATATCCAAGTGCAAACATATGCATTGGCACTTCAGCAAAGAATACACAAACACATTTACATAATTGCGGCTATATTTGTGTATTTATGTATATGTACTATATGTGGTTTTTTATAGTAGGAGGAAGCAGCGAAAGCCGGTGTGCGGAATTGTAATCCGCTAAACCTAACCTACTCTCATCTCATGTCTCTCCCACGGCACTGTTGTTTTAAGGTCTGGACTAAGTATTAGTTCATGGGAGATATTTGTATATGTAGTTTCTGAAGCACCCATGGCATTGAGTGAGTCAGGTGAAAATCCAGATTCCCATGTTGTCTATCTATCCACGAATGTATGACCAAAATCAGTCAGTGAGTGCATTGTCCGTTGCTCATTTTTATTCACATTTCTCATAAATGATACATTCTTAAGTTGTTGCGACTTTATTTTGAATTCCGACATATTAATATTATAATATTTTGTATGCCATTCCCCAGGAGTATATATTTGCTTCTTCACATAGAAACAGGATTTCTTTTCTATTTGTAATTGCTGACTTCAGTAGCTTTTTTGGTGTTTAAATGCTTCTCTCAGGCGTATACCAAGCTGGCGGCTTGTAAGTTCCCTCCTGTAAAGCCGTTAAGGGCTACTTTGGAGCATGATGTGAAATCTGTTTAAAGAGTGGTTAATATTTAGTTACAAAACCTATATTTTATCATTGATTTCATAATTTCGACGTATTTAGGAAAAGACTCAGACCCTGTGCAGAGCGTATAACTTCCGCAAAGGGAAGACCTATCAATGGGCTTGCAACACTTGTGTGTCATATGTCCTGGTTGGAAAAACGAGCAATAGTAGGAGGTGACAGAAAGACCACCCGATATTTTCTTTACCGACCTTAAATAAGGTTTTGGCATTCTCAGAATGTAGTTATATAAGTACTATTTGAGTGCCGCTTCGGGATTTTCGCATATTTTTGGTATTATTTTCTTAAAAAAAAAAAAATTAAAATAAAAAAAAAACATGTCTACTTTACTCCGAGTCAAACCACTGTCTATGCGGACGATTTTTCTCGCCAAACGCTTATGTATGTGTCTCTGTGCATGATTGCACAAATTTGTCGGCAAACGTTCACGCTGTAGTCTGTGCTGTGCTTTTGCCTTTGAACAGTTTAATCGATTCAGTTCCACAGGTGCGCGATAAGCGTCCCTCGACCGGCAAAAATCACGCATGCGAGCACATACGATTGCACAAACATACACACAAAATAGCTTTGAAACGAGTGCTTTTCTCCAATCACTTGTGAAGTTCTTTGGCAGCTGCTAGCTATGTATATCGGATGCTTATACATATGTACTCATGTACATACACACATATAACCAGCATTTTTAGTTTTATGTTAGTGTTTTTTATCCAGGAATATGCCCGTATTCCCTCAAAAAGTTAAAAGGGATTGAAAAGTTGTGCTTTCTCAACCAAATCAGCGCATATTTTCAAATTATGGTTGGAAAAGTACTTACGAATCGAACACACGTTGATATGCTATGAAAATAAATTTATATCCGATCTCTGCTCTTCGAGTAATAACTCCGGAAATTTTAAAAATTGTATTTTGAGAAAAACACGTTCAAAAGTAAATTGTTTATGCTGAGCGGCTATTCTTTAGACGAATGTAACTCAAAAACTATTTGAGATATGCCTTTAAAATTTTTGTATGATATCTTTAAAGATAAAGACTATCAAATATGTAAAAAAATTTACGTTAAGTGTGTCTCATAAAATAGTTAGAAACTCTAAAACGGTATTAGGCTGTGAACACATTGCGTTTTATAAATACATACCGAAGACTTACTGGGTTGTGAAGTTAGTGCTAATAGGTTTGAAAGTCAAATAATTGTTGAAAGACCTGTAAATAAAAAATAGTAGAAGAGACTATTTATATTTTTTCGTTATTTATTTTAATACGGAGATATATTCAAATCAGTAAAAAACATCTAGAATGGTTGAAGTTTGATAAGATATAATATGGTTCAAGACTTAAATCATAAATTTTTGCATAAATGAATTGGCTTTCAGTTTTCTTAAGTGAATTTAATAGGTTGATAGAAAATTCAAATATTCTTGTATCTTATCCGAAGTGTCTTTTCCTACATAAAATATATAAAAAAAATGAGGTTTAAAAAACTCAAAATTTCGCCGTAAAATATGCAAGCATATGTGGAATGATGGCATTAAAGCTGCTATCGAAATCAAATTTCGTAGGACATCTCTTCGAATAAAAAAATATTTCATATAAGGACTTGATCCCAATCATTCAGTTTGTATGGCTGCTATATCCTAAAGTAGTCGGATTGCGGAGTTCTGACAAATCAGCAACTTCTTACGGAGAAAAGGACGTTTGAAACACCTCGAGGTTTCCTACATTTTTAAAGAAGAAACCAAAGAAACTTCAAATTGAAAGGGTGATGTTTATTTCCATTCCAAAGAATATTCTTTGACATTTATTTTTTGAAGATTATGTCTTTTAAATGTTGGTCGCAGTTAGCCGGTCCGTTGAGTTCAATTTTCGGTAATTCATACATGCATTTCGACTGGTAACTGGCGAATGACACGCGTGATGTTTTGCACCAAGTTCTGAATCGAAGCTTGATTGTCTACATAGACCTTAAACTTTACACATCCCCTCAGGAAAAATTCTAACAGTGTGATGTCACACGATCTTGATGGTGTGGTCTCAAAATGTGAAATTATCTGCTCACCGAAGAGTTATCTCAATAAATGCATTTATTGATGCGATGTGTGAGAAATGACGTCGTCTTGTTGAAACCAAATGTCGCCGAGATCACGAGCTTCAATTTCAGGCATCAAATAGTTGGCGCCGAATCGACTACTCTTAGCTACAACTGCTAAATTTTCCTCACTTTTATTATCAAAAAGATGCTATTAAAAAAATTACATTGACTTGGATCACCCGTTATAATACTTGTACAAATATTATATAAAAATAAGCGCGAAATTCCACCTAATTCCATTACTTTGGTAGTGGTGAAAATGTAGTTACTAAGCAACTAGTTCGCATTTGGTGTTTTTTGGTTCATGAGTGGCATGCACTGTTCAGTGAAATATATTTATTAACATATTATGTTAGTGCGAGTTTGCGTGTGTGTGTGCGCCCGGTTGTGTGAACCTGTGTGTGAGCTTTTTGAGCTCGCCTGCCAACAGTTCAGCTGCCAATGCAAATTACTTTCACATCAGAATTTTTTATGCCTCAATTTCATGCTTTGCTCGCACCCTCATATTTTTCTTCTTACACCAACATATTGTATATACTATATATGAGTGTAGATGTGTACACCCCTGGTAAGCGTTATTCGTTCAGCAATCTATTCCTTGAATTTCGCCGCATCAGCAATTTGCGTGCGTTAATTCTGCGCCGTTCGTTCGCCTTCCATATTAAATATCAATTTGCACACGTGTTCCGTGCGGTTAAAATATGCCAGCAGATATGATAATCAAATTCTATTTAGCGATTATCAGCATTCCTATATTTATTCGTCTTGAAGTTTAGACAACGCATTTTTGCTGATTTAATTACTTTGGTGTCAAAAAGATGACGGCTGTATTGTGTATATAAGTATGTAGGTATGTATGTTACACTATGTTAGAGATCCTTGCATTCTTCAGAAAGATCTATATATTTGTTTGTCAAAAAAGTCTTGCGGTATTTTTGCGGTATTTTTATTGAATTTTCAGTTGTTCATAAAATTTTTTTTGATGACTCATGCCCAGCTCTTGACCGATGCTACGGCTGCTACTATGCCGGTCTCTCTCGACCAATTCAGCGATTTTATCGCAATTTTCGACGACAGGCTTTCCGGAGGGTGGCGCATCTTCGACCACATCTAATGCAGAACGAAAACGTTGAAACCATCGTTATGCGGTGGAAATGGAAACTGTATCGGGTCCATGAACTGCACAAATTTTATTAGCGGCTTGAGATGCATTTTTGCCTTCATCGTAGTAGTACTGTAAAATATGCCGCATTTTCTCTTTATTTTGCTACATGCTTGCGACGCTATAACTCACGAACGACTTAAAAGAAACGAGAATCAATCAAACACGTGTTAGCGCGTGAAATGAGCTTTCCAAAAAGGTATAGCATGACCCCATGCGACGAATAAAACTAGAACTACGCGCTCTCAGCGCCAACTAGCGAAAATACCGCAAGACTTTTTTGACAAACAATATATAAATATGCTTAAAAAAGCTTAAGAAACATAAAATAAAAATCCTTTTGGACTGGTATTCTTTCAGCCACCTCATGTGTATGAATTATTGTCGTAGTTGCCGTTTGGCTATCGACGTATATGTATGCGTTTCGCTGGCGGATCACATGCTCTTGCGATCTGCCACGTTGTCACAGACGTGTTTCGAAGCACTGCTCTCGTATTTTTTTACAGTTCACTCCACCACTCGACACGAGTCTGATTTTGAACGAGCTTCACGAAATTTGTTTTGGAGTGATTTACGAGCTCGATTGAATCCACCATATCATCGTTAAACACTGGTCCTGGATGGAGCTTCAACGCCATGAATTGAATTAAGTTTGCGATGCAATGCTTTTGAGTGAATCTACGTCGAAAGTTGTAAAAAATGGTCGCGCGATAAAGTTTTTTTGGCCGAGATGAATATTTTAGGTTACTGTAGACAACACAAATAG